TACAGTGATATTCTGAAGTCATGAAATATTCGTTTGTTCGGCATTTAGTGAAACCGAAACGCTGGAGAATTTTAAAAAATCGACAGCGAAACGAGAGACATAGCTAATCCTCGGACAGAAAATGGCGGGAAAATCGCACGCATTGCGGATGCCGGGTCAAATATGACCCAAAGCTGGCACATTTCTTAATTTTACTAGGAATTGTAGGGTTTAAAATTGTACAAATATATTACGACTAAAATAAGAAAAAATAGTGATAATATAAGAAGAGGAAAGTTGTGACTCTGTTTCGGTCGAAATAAGAAACTTCTAATACCTGCATTTGTCGTTCGAAGGTTTCAGGAAAATTTAGAAGCTTGTATAAAAATTAGGAAAAAATATTTTAGTAAATCGTAAGTGAGTTTCTTTATTTCACGTAAGAATTTGGATAATTCCCACCTACTTACAGTCAGAAAAAATTGCAAACTTTTTACAAAAATTTATTACTTTGTACGTTACTATTTAATATATATTAATTTTTTTCTTAATTTTCAATATTTCGTGTTTAACAAACTTGTATTACATAAAAGTTTCTCCTTTCGTCGCTACTCGTTCTTATTCCACTCATCGCATGATTTCTCTCAAAATTGAGAAATTATCATCAAGGATAATAAGAACACGGGCAGCAAGTATAAACGAGATCGAATATTTCAACGGTAAGGTGGTAAACCTGAATTACATCATTCCCTAGCAGCGAGTAACGTAATATTATGCAAACTCGCGCTTCGTTTGTTTAATAGAAAAAGCTCCTCGGAAAACCCGGTTCTACCGTGGATGGTGATATAAGGAACCTTTTACCGGAATTTCTGGTTCTCGTGGCCACACATTTTTGCCTGCCCGACGATCATGGAATATGAAATTACGCGGTGTGCGCACGTTGTTGCGCGTGTGTTGCACGTCCCAGCCTTTGAAATAATAAAATGCTATTGAGGACCGCCGACGTAACACGAGAAAATTACCAAGTCGCCCTTAAAGAGCATGTTCGACACCGTAAAAATAAACGTTCGATATTTAATTTTATCCCTTCCTGTACGAAGAGCTACAAAATGAATAGATTATTCTTCTATCGGATGTGTAACGCTATTGCAGCGTGAAATTTATGGTCCGGAACAATATCATCGCGATGAAACTGGTAGGAGAATTTTAGCGCTGCTTCTCAGTCGTTAATTCTGCTTGAAATGAAATTAAGTTATTAAATTCATTTGTTTAGACCGGAGAGACGACTTTGTTTTTCCTTTATGCGTATTCTGATTATGTTGACAGTGCTGTGCGGAACGTTTTTTTTTTTTTGCCTGTTTAAGTGTTAGAAATTTTCATCGATTCGTTTTTACGTGAATTTTGGGAATTTAATAAGAATATGTTGGGCGTGTGGAATAATTATGTTATGCTATGACAAACATTTTGTTAAATACAATTTTAAAGGTAGTGTAGTGTTCTAGAAATAAAAAATTTTTAAATGTAGAAATAAACAATTTTGAAGCTAGTGCATTATTCTGGAAATGAAAAATTTTAAAGGTAGTGTAGTATTCTAGAAGTGTAAAAATAAAAAATTGATAGATACTTTGAATAATTCCAAGTGACATTTTTCCATGTTAATGGAAACTAATTCAGTATTATCGTCTTTTTGCTATCATCAAACATTCTAATGCAACTTTTCGATTTTCCTTGAAACTTTCACCAAACAACTGATAAATCTCCGGTTAGCCAATACCATTACCAAAGTATTAAACGATGCACTCTCAAGCCAAAATGATTAACTCCACTTTTTCAAATTCTTCCAATTTTAATTTCTGAGTGGCACAAATAATATTCGCAGCAATAACAGTACAACGTAATGTTACTAAATTTTCTTCACACACCGATTCAAATCGAACGTTACAGTGACATAAATACTTCTCATCCACGTGCATGTCGGTAATAGAGACATTTTAATTTGTCACCGTTCCACGAAAGAATTTCACTTCGCAATCGTAATTACACTTGGTCCACAAACTCACAAACCGCACACGGTGTAGGCATAGAGCAGTGGAAGAACAGTTCAGTTCTCGTGTGGAGAGGCAACGGTGGCAACCTGAGAGCGCAATTTTGCATCTCCCTGGTGACGGTTGTCCCTTCACGGTCGACGAGGGATCACTTGAAACCAGGCCGTACGTGAAGCATCTCCGCGAACAGGATGATCAATTATGAGACAGATGACTTCGCCATGCCCTGTTTCCCCTGGCGCTGACAACCCACATGACAGCCCGCTCGTGACACGTCACGTTGCGAAAAGAGGCGTCCGCCTCTTCTCAAATATTTTGCCATTCCTCCTTTATGTGCCATTGGAAAGCCTTTCCAGACGAGCTTGTTCAATGTGTGCACGACTATTTCGGACTTATACGTATAGCAATTTAGGCGACAGCTGATCGGTAGCGTGAATAATGGCTTTCTTACAGGAAGGCGCACCTGTGCTCGAGACTAAGTTTAATTAGGGAAATATTACCTGTGAATGTGAATGGAAGAGAAAGCTTTGGGTATTTGTGTAGGGGATTTATGTGAGGAGGGATAGTAAACTCGAACGGACTTTTGACTTTACTATATTTATTAATTGTTTATATCGCTACGTGCTACGCTAAGGATGTCGCTCAATCAATCGCTGGATTCATACTGCCTTTCGCTCCCTCGCATTCGCCCTAATGTCATCTTGCATACATGCACACTTTTCGTTAGAAGAAAACACACACGCACTCACGCACTCCTCGCCTGATTACTAAAATTAAACATTCGTTCAATATCTTTCGCGCTATCCCAAACACTCGACCTGGCACGCCGGTCCTTACCGCTCCGGCCATAGACCCTCACGCATTCACACAGCAACGCATTCATACAAACAACGCACTCACGCTCGGTCATCCCTACATTTGTAATAGTTTCTTTCGAAGAGATTTCTGTATTTATCTGTGAGGAATTTAGGTTTGCAGCCTTTAGAAAACAGTACAGAAGTTGTAATTACGTGAAATCTGTACGATTGTAATTAATACGGTGTTGGATTCTGGAGTAAATTATTTTAGGGAATAAGAATTTTTAGTTCGGAGCGTTGAACTGATTACAATTATACTTTGAATTTCTATGTATACGAATATTATTAGAATTTATGGTAATAAATTAAATGTTAGAAAGTCCAAAAAGCGAAGGCTTGAGTGGGCCATGTGCAGTCCTCTGCTGCGTTTCCCCCTCCTAGGGATAGTTCTGCCTCAAGGCTAAGGAAGGCCATATTGCCAAGGGGGTCCTCTTGACTAGTTTTTTCAGGAAGGACAGAATTGTATCAGCACTCGTGCAGCATAGTTCAAAATACAAGGATTCACTCTCTTTAACCGCCCACGTGTAGATTTTATTCCACCGCTCACCACCGCTATCCTGACCGTTTTTACCTTACATAAAAGACATTATTCTCTATTTTGATACGCGAGGAAGGCACCTCGCTACGCAATTAATAAAGCAAGCATCGACAAGACGTTGAGGGAAAAAAAACATATCAGCGTCACCCGTACTAAACAGATGGTTACTATGTTATTTTTCTATATATGTTTATATTAATCTCTCTCAGTACGTTGATCATTTTTGCTGTTACTATTACACAGACACGCGCTCATTTCTCCTAATAATCCAACAAATGAAAATGAAGCTTCTACTATAATTTCACTTTAAAATGAAATTCAGAGATCTAGTTATGTATTTGTATACATGTTCTCGTATACATCGCCTCGAACGGCAAACCGCGCTCGTCAGTTGATTCACTCGTTCGCGTGATCCTCCGCGACCGCGAGTAACGTAAACACTCTGTCACCTTCCCCGCGGAAGTCCTCATCGTCGTACTAGCTAGCATGTTGGTATCGGTACCGGGGGGGAGAGGAACCAGGTTGAACCGAATTGTTGTCGGGGAAGTCAGTTGGCTTCAAACGCTCTAACGATTAAGACGATTCCGATCCAGCTTTGGCATCGGCGAACCTCGTGTACTGCTCTTGTATTGTACCAAGCATTGTATTAAAACCTACGGCATTTCGCCTATTAAATCTTGTCGCAAACCCTAAGGGTTTCTGTTGATACTCGCGAGATAACAATACCTATACCCGGTGATTCGTACGCGAAGAGTTGATTCATTAATATGCAATATTTAAATTTCAACACAAACTTCAAACTTTCATTCTTCAAACTCCAACAAACTGCTGAACTATTTGAATAATACTAAATACTTGCTCAACTATATACATTTGTCTTTACTATGTCGGACACTTTATCGAAGGTTTCTGATTTATTAAAATCTTCTAACTTTCATTCTGCAAACTCCAACAAACACCGACACAATTTGAATAAAGTAGAAGACATTTGCTCAACTAAGTCCAGTTTTCTTTTCTTTTCCACTACACCAGACGTTTTGTCGAAAGTTTCTGATTTATCAATGTCTTCAAACTTCAAACTCTAACAAACAAGCGAACAATTTGAATAAAGTACTAAATACTTGTTCAAATATATTCTTTTTTTTTTAATACGCCAGACATTTTAGTGAAAGTTTTTGATATATCAATGTCTCCAAACTTCAAACTTTAACAAACAACTGAACAATTTGAATAAAGTACTAAACACTTGCTATATTATATCCAATTTTTTTTCCAATAAGCCATTTTATCGAAAGTTTCTGATTTATTAATGTCTTCGAACTTCAAACTTCATTCTTCAAACTCTAACAAACGAATAGAGTACTAAACACTTGCTCAATTATATCCATTTTTTTTTCAATACGCCAGACATTTTATCGAAAGTTTCTGATTTATTAATGTCTTCGAACGTCAAACTTTAATTCATCAAACTGCAGCAAACACCGGAACAATCTGAATAAAGTATATACTAAATACTTGCTCAATTATATTCAATTTTTTTTTTCTCATTACGCCAGATACTTTATCGAAAATTTCCATTTCCAGGACTATCGAGCTGATCGCTCTGATAGCGATTTCCAGCACCCTCTTCCTTTTCCTGCACACCAGAGAGCTGCACTCGCGTCTGCGAAAAATGGAAGTTCGCCTTCAACCTGGCGAAGACGAGATGCTGTCGGCGAATCAACTCTCATCCGGTGAGTTTTTCACATTGCTCCACCTCTTTCTGAACTTTCTCGATTCATCGAGCGAGGCACGCGGTATATCGTCAATGTATCAACGTATACGGTTCGAGACTTGATAGCCAGCTGAAGGTACAACTACTGTTCAATCGATAAATACATCTTCTTCGTGGATATTTTATCCGGAGAAGGCCGGAGTTTCGAATCAATTGGAAAGCTGCCTGCATAAAGTGTTCCGGAGGAAAAGTGATCCCACCGTAATTATTTACACCCTTGGGGCAGGTAACGACGCTCGTAAAATTGCGAGCGGAATGCTAGCTTTCTCATAAAGGAAACGAATATTACCTTTGATTCAATCTGCACAGCGTGGTTACGTCGAAACTTTGTTATTTTTTTTATTTTATTATTTTCGTGAGAGCTAAATCGCGAGAGTTACAAAGCAGAAGCGCGAAACACTGTTTCCTTTGCGTTGCTGATATAATTTTATCCAATTAACTATCGCGAAACGTAAATTTCTAAAACTTCGGAAATTAAAAGAAATTCTTCTAGCTTCGAAATTGATTATTAAAATGAATAATTATACTCTACGCGTTCTCGTAATTGGAATCATTTACGATACAAAATATGCGCCGAGAATCTGAATTTCATGGAAGAAAAAAAGGGATATCAGGAAACGAATGAATAAATTCAGCAACAAATATTTCAGGAGAAGTCACGTGTCTTCACATAGTTAAGATAAACACGCAGTGGAAAAAAAAGTAGCGTTGTTAATTACCTGAGAAAGAAAAAAGGACAAACCACCTTCGAATAATTCCAAGATGCGACCAATAATGTGCACGCAATTCTGTTGCACGCCATCCTCGCGCGCTTAATTATGTTGAGAAACCTCGGAAATCTGGCATTATCAACGAAACGTCACCGCTTATCCTTCAGTTTTCCGCAGTTCCCGATGTAATTAAGAGAAGAAAAATTTTCATCTTTAATCGGCCAGAGGGAAATTTCTAAATTGGCTCATAGAATGGAGCGCACAGTGAACACGCGCGCGTATTATACCGACCTCCACACTCGAATATCCTTCAAGGAAGGCCAGACTTCCCGGTTGAAGAAGGTCAAGGTGTGAGAGTGAACGTACAAAGAGTCGACGTCTACTATACAGAGGAACGTGCGTTTTACTTGTGTATATGTGTGTATCGTTAGATGGTTATCGTTGTGGCGCGTAGCATTTCGCATTCGCGAGATACGTAACGGTATTGGGGCCCTCGTTTGTCTGTAACACGCTAATTAGCCGCTCCGGATCCTCCACGTCGTTCTGGTTCTCTCTTTAACGCGACCGCTGTTCCCAATTTGTTGCCGCGTATTTTACAATCAGATCGATTAATCGCGTTCCCGGTGTTCGTGGAATTAGGAACAATCGCGATGAAACCTGGATGTTTCGTATGGCGAGCGAGGGGAATTTTAAGCGACGAGTTTCTTGGAATTGTCGGGATGAATTGAAGAGTAGTTTTGTTAAACGTTGAGAGATAAGATTTTAATATCACTTATGTAGGAACCTAGGGAAAAATATCGAGGGATCCACCGGGAATCGAACCCGGGACCTTCGGCTTAGCAAGCCGAGGCTTTGCGCGCTACGCCAACCACTCCCTCTCTATTGTCCCTTCGAGGTTTCCTATTTGGGCATGGAGGCCCCGATACTACACTCGGCCATCCTGAACTGACATTCGCCCTCGAATGTCCTCAGTGCAACACAACTCAACACTTTCGGGCACACTCCCCCACACAGTGGCACACAGCCGAAAAAGGACGTGCAACCCTCAACATGTTTTCATCGCACACCTCCTGGCTTCGGTGTAGCCGTAGATGCCTCCATCTCGGACGAGCCTTCATTTGTAGGAACCTAGGGGAAAAATATCGAGGGACCCACCGGGAATCGAACCCGGGACCTTCGGTTTAGCAAGCCGAGGCTTTGCGCGCTACACCCTCTCTATTCTCCCTTGTCGGTTTCCTATTTGGATATGGAGGCCCCAATACTACACTTATGATATAGAGGGTGCCTCATTTATAACGAATATACACTTATTTTGTACGAATCTTATCGGTACAAGGTTTTGCACGCTGATCTAGAATTTTGATTTGTTGAAAATTCGTGAAAATAATTTTTGCACGAAATTCCAGAAAAAGAGAAATTAATTTTTTCGGAGAAATGTCATATTATTTTCTATTATTTATATTATTATAGTGTCTATCCATATCTATATTATTTTATGAGAAAAAATGGCTAAGAGAAGTTTGTATGGTTGGAGGAAGTTAGAAATTGAATAATTCTAATAGAAACGAAGTGTTCGTGTAGAAATTCTGCTTGCACACTATTCACGAGGCACTGAAAAAGTGAAGATACGGCGTTTTTTAGAAAATTAATTTTTATATTTCCCAAGTGGTTTGCTTTAGTATGAACATTGCTGTGGCTGAAGGTTCTGTGGTTGAAAATAATTATTTGCTAATAACTATACTAAATTTCGATTAGAATACCCCTTACTTCTTATACTTTGCCCGCTGTAACGTTTATCTCTAATGAAATACATTTTATTTGACTAAATTTAAAGCCACTTAAACGAATGGTATTTCGAATTAGAATCAGTACAAGCAGTTACAAGCAAAACCGATGAGTTTATGTACGTACTATAATTACCAAACAAGTCCTACTTCGAAGAACGAACATAATAAACTTTAATATCAACCAATTAAACAGGAACGCGTACTCGAAAAAAGATTCTAAATAAATTCAGCATTCAAACCTAATTCGCGTCTCATCCTTACTTTATCATTTTCACAGCATCGAGCAATATTTCATAAAAGTATCCTTCCGTTTTCTTCCCCTAATGTGGAACTTTTTCTTTGCATACAGAGAAGACGAATCTTTGTTCGAAAAGATTTATCATCACGAAACTCCCGATAAAAGATAGAAAAGAGAAAAAACGTCGCGGAACAGTGCTCTTAAAAAAAAAAAAAAAAAATCTACGTAATTATAAATATTCTTAATTGAGTAGCTGATTGTGGAATAGGATGGAAATTCCTCCGACGATCTTCCACTGAGATAAAACCAGCCGCGCGATTTGTGTAATTAGAAATATTCCAAGTACGCGTAGGAAAGTGTGTGTGTGTGTGTGTCTAGTTTTATATGGTATATCGGAAATCGAAAGTGTAGGGCAGGAAGAAGATGGTGATGAATCGCTTTTCCTCCCTCGTGCTCGCATGCATGTACCAGTTTATGCTCGTCGTGTACACATGTTTCAGTTGTAGGCCATTGATCTTTTTACCATGAAAACGGCTGCAGTAGGTGTTTGAAGAATTACAGTATCACCTGAAAAATTGTCTTTTACGCTTTCCAGTAACGGCGCGCGATCAATCTTGTTGCGCTGCTTATGAATCATCGATGGTTATACCGTTTTCTATCTCGCACGGTGTCTTCTTAACGCGTTCTCTATTAAACCATATTAATCGTTAATTATTGGTGATGGAATAATTTTTTTTTTTTTAATTTGTTGCCTATCTGTGGATCATCGAGTCTGTAAGGGATACTAGATTGAGGTCAATTTTTGTTCGAGTAGTCAAGTGGAATATATGCTCCTTATTGGTCAGGAAAGGGTTGTGCAAACTTTTGGAGTGACCCAAATTTTTCTTTAAATCACTTTTCTATAGGACTAGGTTTATCTTAGGGACGATTTATATTTAAAGGGCCATTCAGATGCTTTTTGGACTGTGAAAATATCGAAAAATGAAGTAAAAATGAATGAAAAATGAAGTTTTCGAAAGTAGGACATCAAGAATCACACTTTTTCGAATTTAACTTTTTTCCGTATTTTGTATGGTTTTATATGTATTCGCGATAATATGAAAATTCACAATTTTTGAAGAGCTGTTTTCACCCCCTAGAACCACTTCATTGTCGAAACAAAAATTTATTTTATTGAAGTACATTTCAGCAAAGTTTCAAAATTTTTTTTGAATTTTCACCGTGTAATTTTAACGCTAATTTTACAGTTCTCGAGATTCGTATTAAAAGAGAAACGTCGAAAATTGAAGTTAAAATTCGAGAACGAATTTCGATGGATAACAGATGAAATAGTATACGAAGAGTTGCATTGTTCTAGTTACACGTTACACGGATTTAAGTTCGAAAAGTGTAAATGAATGAAAGAGGTTAGATGGATTTTTCTACGATATCTTTCAAAGTCTCTTCATCATACATTATACTCCTGCTTGAAGAGAATGGATGCATCGCTTCGTTCAGAGAGTTCATATCTCTTGACCTCGTTTCTAGCGTTCTACTTATTGTCAATGTAGAAAGAATTCTCCTCTTTGCCGCGACTCCGCTGTGTGCCACTCTCATTAAGGACAATTTCAAAACTGAATCGCATTATACGCGACTGATTGATATGTACGAGTCTTTTTCTTCTTCTTTTTCTTTTTTTAAGCACACCAGGAAACGAAAACTAGAGCGCTTTCAAAAGGAGAAATATTATCACAGAAACGTTACCCTTTTGTAACGAGAAAAAAAGATAATTATTCAGCAAGAAATATACGTATGTATGTGGTGTGTAATAATTCGTTGTTACGTATACAATTTTTCTTTCGTACTTTATCCCCCTGGTTACTGAATAAATATGAAAAATCTGGAAGTTACACAAACCTAATTAGAGATTTTCGAAGGATAATACAAAGTAACCAGTAATGAATAACATATCGTTGTTGCGAATTTTTTTCATTCAATTTCCATTTTTTAGAAACATCTTTGATGCGGTAATTAACGCAGCATTGCGTCTGGTACGCTTTCGTTTTCAGTCTGAAACAATTGGTTCCATTGGAGGAACCAAGAACGAACACGTACATGAAAAATCTTTTAGTGAAGCGTAATAATCGTGGATTTTCGCTTCGGTTACTTATCAAGCAGCTAATTAACCTTCTTGAAAGTGTTAACTAGCATTCGAAACAGTCACGATATATTTATATAATTTTAA